CAACACTGAGGGTTGCGATCCGTTGCCGGACACGAAAAAAGACAAAAAGGAAAAAAAAAATGCTTCTGTGGTATTTTTTTCTGTCTCTCAGTGTAGATCATAGCTGTTTGGCCGACCATATGTATGAGGTACCTTTCCCCAACAAAAAATAATTTTTAATAGTTATTAATATATTGAGTAAGGAGTACTTAACTGTGATAATAATATGGTGAAATTTAGGGTAAAGAAGGATTTATAACTTCAACATAAAAGAATGTTCTTAGTTATACCAAGTTACTGTTATAGTTATTTGTAAGTTATTTGTTGTGAATATTTCTGTCTTTATACAATTCTTCATTTAATATTCTTACTAAAGTATATGTTGTGAAGAGACATATTTTATCTTAGTTTTTTAAGTGTGTTTTCTTTGTATTGCTCCTATAGAGTTTTTTCATGCATGGATTATATTTATTAAAAAATAAATTAAGTTTATTTTTAAAATCTCAAGAGATATGTCAGCAGTATTGGAAAACTGAAAAGTCATCTATGTGGGTGTTAATATCCTCATTTCTCATCTGCAAATAAAAACTAATAAATTAGGACTACTGAAAGTTCTGATGGTATTGTTCCCAATCTCAAGAGCACTTATTTCAAATGGCTTACTAACTATAAATAGTAAAAAGCCTGTGATAAAATTCTTGAGATTAATTTGCTGTCTTTTTTTAGAAAATGAAATATCCTTTCTTTTCTACTCTTCTAAAAGGAAATCAATTCCTTTCTTAATAATAATTTTTGTGTTTTTTTTCTTTTTTTTTTTTGTTTTTTTTTGTTTTGGACAGAGGTTCTAAAAGACTACATCAAGCCAGATGGGGAATGTTTGGAATTGTTTGCTCGAAATTTACAGCCAGGTTGGACTAGTTGGGGCAATGAAGTCCTCAAATTTCAGCACGTGGATTATTTTCTTGCTCTGGAGTCTGGAAGCTGACTATGGTCTTAATTAAAGCAGTGGTTTCTTCAGTGTTTCTCACCCCTTCTTTCTTCATTCTAACTCATTTTTCCTTTTATTATCAGCCAGTATGCTTAGAAATGTAAATAGGAGTTGGTTTTTCACTAAAGTGACCAGAGTGATTAGCCTTCATGTAATTTTGAGATGAACTTTACTTTGTACTAATATTCCATGTTATTCTAGACTCTCTACGAATAAAAAGGTAAGCAGTTAGAAAGATGGCAAGACTATGCTATTGAAACAGTTCAGGAAGCATACATGCACTGCGGACCAGAGATCATAATCCTGCCTATGGATGTGATTTGTTTGGCCCAGATGGTGATGTAAAAAAAATTTTGAACCATTATTCTAAAACCTCTGGAAATTTCACATAAAAATCCAGATTTCTGCTTCTCTTTAAACATCAGAAGCTCTGGCTACACTGAACCCTGTGTTCTTTCCTGACATCAGTCTGCAGGACCTAAGTGGTAGTAGCTCGCTTGGGCAGGTCCATGCTCATTCCAGTTTACTGCAATGCCACTTCCTCTGTGGTTCCTCTGTGGGCTCACTTATACTTGTGTTACCTACTTGGCTCCTGTATGACCTGAATTTGCAACCTCTGGTATACTGTTATGTTCTAGAAAAAGTATCCAGAAGACCTGCTAAGTACTGCATTAGTATATTGAGTTTATGCAACATTTTTGGAGGGTTTTAAATTGCATTCAGTGTCACTTTTCAAGCATTTCTTAATTTTGCTTATGTTTCTATAAGAAAATTAAAAGATATTTGTTATAAAAAATGTCAGAAAGTAAACAATACTTGTGATTGTGAAATAAGTATTTTATATTTACAGATTTTCTACAAGTAAATATTTGTCTACTAAGTAAAATATTTTGATCTAAATAATTCTTTGAATAGCATGCTGATGTGTTATATATTCCTTTCTTTTAAATTGAGGAATTTTCAGGTAATAAAATTCTCCGATTTTCATTGTAAAGTGAGATTTGAAAACATATACAGTTGTCTGTCTACCACTATAATCTGATATAGAACATTTTCTTCACCCCTCAAACTTCTCATGTGTCCCTTTGCAGTCAGTCCCTTCCTCCCATCCTTGGCCCCTGGCAGACAATGATTTGCTTTCTGTCATTAGTTTTGCTTTTTTAGAATTTCATATAAGTAAAAATCATACAATGTGTAATCTATTGTATCTGACTTCTTTCACTTGGCGTTTTGAGAAAAGCATTTATACTATTTATTGATTATCTACAAATATTTATCTACTAGGTAAAATGTTAGACTGAAATGATTCTTTGACAAGCTTGCCAACTTGTTTACTGATTTTGTCAAAGAAAAATATGTTACTTTTGATGTTTGTTCATCCTTTGAGTGTGTGAGTATAGTATCAGCAACTTAATTTTGTGTTTATGGAGGTATTCTAACTTGTTATTTAAAAAGAAAAAGGTATTAAACTTGAAACAAACTTCTCACAATCCCATTTGAAATTCTTTTCAGCTTCCTGCAGTAGTTACAGATTTTTTTTTTCTTTTCTTTTCTGTTTTTTCTTTTTTTTTCCTGGTGGGCAGAGTATAGGAAGCTTTATTCATTGCTACCCAATTTAAGTTCATCATCTATTTGTTGCTGAAACCTTCCTCAAAGTTGGTATGATCAGACTTTTGGGGGTCAATCTAGTAAAGTGGATTCCACAGGTCATCATTTGCATCTCTTGGGCTACTAATAAAGTTGAATTTCTTTTCAACTATATATTCTCTATTTGCATTTCCTCACCTGGGAAATGTGTGCTTATTCTTTATTTTTTAATTTTAAATTTATTTTAATTGACACATTGTAATTCTCCATAATTATGGGGTATAATTTGATGGCTTGATACATATATATGTTGTATAATATTCAGGTCAGGATAGTTAGTATATTCATCACCTCATGCATTTATAATTTCTTTGTGGAGAGAACATTCAAAAACCTCTCTTGTAGCTAATATGTAATACATAACAAATACATAACTGTTAACCATCATCACTCTACTGTGAATAGAACATCAGAAGTTATTTCTCCTTATCTAATTGAGACTTTGCACCTGTTGTCCAACCTCTCCCTGTTTTTCCTTCCCCTCTCCCCTCCTAGTCTCTGGTAACCACTTTCTACTCTTTGACTCTATAATATCAATCATTTTTTTTTTTTTTAAATTCACGTATAATTGAGATCATGTAGTAATATAACTGAGATCACGTAGTGTTTGTCTTTGTGTGTCTGGCTCACTTCACTTAACATAATGTCTGCAGGTCCATCCATGTTGCCACAAATGACAGGACTGGATTTTTGTTTTATGCCTGAGCAGTATTTTATTGTGTATATACCACGTTAAAAAATTTTTTTTATTAGCATTCATTACTACGAATTGTAATCATTCTTTATACCCCTTAGCCGACCAATCCCTCCCCAACCCCCCTCTCTCCCCCCTCTTCCCTCTCTAGTATCCTTAGGTTTGTTCTCTCCTTATGAGAGTTCAATGTATTATTATGGTCTTTTTTTTCTTTCTTTCCTTCTTTCTTGGAACCCAGTTGAGTGAGGATATGCGTACCTCACTTTTTAAAAAGCCATTAGTTCGTTGTTGGACACTTAGGTTGATTCCATATATTGGTTGCTTCCACAGTGTAAATAGTGCTGCGATAAACGTGGTAGTGCGGATATATCTTCCACGTACTGATTTCTTTTCTTTTGGTAATTAATCCAGTAGTGGGATTGCCAGAATATGTGGTAGTTCAGTTTTTAATATTCTGATGAACCTCCATACTGTTTTCTGTAATGGCTGTACTAACTTACACTCCCACCAATAGTGTGCAAGTGTTCCCTTTTCTCCAGCACTTGTTTTCTTTTGTTTTTATAGATTTTATATAGCTTGTGGAAATATTTTATTCTCACCAAATTTGGGGGCTTTTATTTTTGCATCATAAATACTAGTACTGAAAGAGAAAAAGAGAACTGAGTCTGGTACTCAAGTGGCAGAAGTTCTTAGCTCTGCTCCCAAGTTGTACAACCTCTGGGCCTTGTTTGTAACACTAGTTTAATTAGTGGGCTCCTTTTTGAACAATGGATGATTCTGCAAAATATAATAACACATCTTGTGAGAACAAAAATGAAGGAGTATGAATACTGAATTTTGACTTTATTACTCCTGGTCTAGCCACCTGACCTGATGAGCTTAAATATTATAAGGTGCTTTCATTCAGAGATTTATATATTACCTTTATAACTTGTAAGAATATTGTGGATTTTTTCTGTCGTATTCTTTTTACAGGTTTAAGGTCTTGTAGAGCACTTGATAGTAATATTGGGGCAAAGGGATGGAGCTAACATTTGTCGAATAGTATGTGTTACTCTGTGCTATGCTTTTTACATACTTTATTGCATTTAATCCTTCCACAGCCCTGAGAGATAGATGCTATCTTTATTTAATAGTTGAGAAAACTGAAGCCAAGGAGACCATTTTGTCTGTAACACATAGAAAGTATTTAAAGTAGGATTAGCATGCATAGTTCTCTGACTCTAAATCCCATGTTGTGTTCTGTATAAGAACATGGAGAACTGGGCAAATGACTTACGGATTTCTAAAGGGACATCCATTATACTTTAGCTTTCCCCTTCTAGCTCTCAAGTTGTTATGAGGATTAAATGAGTTAATTCATATAAGGCACTTAGAACAGTGCTTGGAATATTTTAAACACTCAATAAATATGAGGACCCCTCACATAATTTTCAATTTCAGATCAAAAAGGTTCTTTATCATATCTGGACTCTAATTCAGGGAATTCACTGGAAGTTAAATGTTGGCTTCATCCCTGTGCCCCAGCATTACTAAGCTGTCCATGGAGTTTTTCTTTCTAAACATCTTTTTTCTTAATCTGTTTTTGGGATCACATTTCCTAACTTGCACCTGATTTCATACATGAGAAAGCTATTAAATCTTTCTTTTTTCCCATTGTGGTTCTGCCTAAAAATAAATCAAAACAAAGGCCAGGTGCGGCTCTGGACTTCAGATCTTGATTGCCTACTGTCTAGTGACTCTGAGCTGTATAGCTACTCTACATTACCTTTTGTTGACTTCATTGCTGGTTAATTGGTGGCCTTTCTGATGTTTCTTCTATATTCAGAGACTTCAGGCCCATGCCACATTAATTTTGGTTCAAAATAAATATGTTGCACTTTGCTGCAGGTGTTAGGAACTTGATCTATATGTGCCTCCCAAGGGATTTTCCAGTTGATAAGGCACAGACCAAGTGAATAAGGCCTGTTTCTTCAGATGGTCTGAAAGGCACCAGTGGGAATAAGTTTCTCCTCCTGGATGCTAATATTTGAGGGAGGTCAGCATCACCATGGGCCAGTGGTCTTGGAGGAGGACATAATATAGAGAGGCTAGTCCATGACCCTAGGGAGATAAGTCTGTGTTTAGGTCTGCGTCTGGCTTTAGTTATTGCCTTTGCTCTGTCCTTGCTGTAGGCTCTACCTACCTTGTCCTGTTCTAGTCCTCCAAATACTGTGACTCAATCTCATTATAAGAACATCGTAGGCCTCCAAATGTTACCTTTTCAGGCTTACTACCCTAGAGACACATATCCTTAGGGAAGAGGCTAGTCCATGACCCTAGGGAGATAAGTCTGTGTTTAGGTCTGCGTCTGGCTTTAGTTACTGCCTTTGCTCTGTCCTTGCTGTAGGCTCTACCTACCTTGTCCTGTTCTAGTCCTCCAAATACTGTGACTCAGTCTCATTATAAGAACATCGTAGGCCTCCAAATGTTACCTTTTCAGGCTTACTACCCTAGAGACACATATCCTTAGGGAATTTTTATGTATCCAGCTTCAGGCAGATATTGGGTTTTCCACTGATGTGATTCAGGGGAGGATTGTAATTGCTTCCAGGGACCTTCCCTTCTCTGAAGATGCTGCCTGATTCACCTCATTTGACTCACGTCATGCGCCACTGGCCTCCTGCACCCTGGAACACACCACAGCACTGTTGGCACAGTTCTCTGGTTACGGAGTTCTTTTACTTCAATTATCTTACTTTATTCTTAAAGCAATCTTACGAAATTGTGGATATAATGAGGGAATAGGTTCATAGAAGCTGGCTGATAGGGCTAATAACTAAGACTTGGACTCTATTCTAGTCCCTAAATTAAGGCACTTTATGTTGTACCATGTTTACTAATGAACCTGAGATCTTAAATAGTAGACCCATCAGATTCTAATGATAATGAGGGATCATTGTGTGGCCTGGAACAAATTTAGAATGGTTTATATAAAATCACTCAAACATACCTCTCTCAATATACCATATCATCAATATTGGGTTATTAACACAGTACTTTTTGTTAGAGATTTTAATGACGTTAGTTCAACTGATAGGCCGAGTGCAACTCAGGATCACTCAGAATCTGATGGGTTATTAAACCCTTTGACATAAGCCATTAACACCTTTACCATGCAGTGGTACTTGTTCACATTTTAAGGAAGCTCTTCTGCAAAATATTCACCTGGACTTGGGGCTGGCTATTCAGGTGGTTAGAAAGAGGAGGTTAAGTAAGGTAAGTAAGGATAGGCACAAATGATTTATGGTGATCTGTTATCAGTGTTTAGATGTATGAACCAACCAGAACTCCATAGAGGATCTTAATTAAATTCATGGCCTTATTGACCAGTCTGCTCCATCTTGAAAGTAAGTCAAAGCTACCATAATAACTCCACAACCAGCCTTTTCCCCTTAAATATTCTTAGACCTCCTGGGGCTTCTGTGAACTTGAATAAAACCTCTTGGACTTTTCCAATATCAATCCAAATCCCTTGAACCATATAAAAACAAATTAACTTCTAGGAGTGGAGAGCATAAGGAAATCCATTAATTCATCCACCTTTTTAGAGTAGACATTGGCCTAATTATCAGATAACTGTGACAGTGGGGTAACTTTGGATGACAGATAGGGCAAGTGAATGGTCATTTGCAGTATTAAAATTGTTTTTAGTCAGTATCATTAAGGAGATAATATGGTGCCCAGCCTGCTTTTTAACTGCTCCCAACACTGTCCACATACATGTTGAATGTTAATCAAGCTGAGCTATTTGCTGTTACACGATTAAGGCCTCTCTGCTTTTGCTCATGGTACTTCCTCTGCCAGGAAAAAACTAGCTAGACTTTGGGATCAGCTGGGTCTACATAGTGAGTCTGGGCATTTAGCTTCTGAATCATTTTGAGCAATTACTTAAACTGCATTATCTTGAGTTTCCTTTTCTGAGGAATAAGAAGGTTAATCTTAGGACCTTGTAAAATTTTTAAGAGAATAAAGTGAATGAAGGTGCCTAGCAAAGGGCCTGCTACCCAGAAGGTATTCAATATATGCTCATTTCTTTTTATTTACAGTCTTCCTGGCAACACCTCTTATGATTTATTAAAAACATTTTTTTTTGTTTTTAGCTAATTT